GGTTGGGGGTGAGGGGAGGGAGAGGGAGAAGGGACTTGAAACAAGCTTGTTCCCTAACTAGAACTAATAAATAAATTAAAAAAAGACAAACTTGAGTTATTATTTTTCATTTTATTTAAATTTATTTCAAGTGATCCATAAAAACAAAATTTGTACATATTAATGTGATACCATTGCTATTTCAGAATATGTACACATTGTGTAATGTTTAAATCGCTTTTATCTTTTTCCTCATTATTACTTTATAGCAAAAACTAAACAAAATATTTTCTTCTAACTTTTTATGTATAGTACATTAATGGATGATCTACAGACACCCTACTATGTAATAGCTCAGCAGAACTTTCTTCTATCTAAGTAACTATAACTTAGTGACCCTTATTCAGCCATCCCTCTCCAAATTTTGGAAACAAACATTCTACTCTCAACCTGCAGGAGATCAGTTGTCACCAGATTCCATACAATAGAAGTTAGTTATACAGTGTATGCTTTTCTGTGACTGGCTTGTTTTATTCACTTAACATAATCTCCAGTTGCATCCAGTTTTGTCACAAACTCATTCCTTTGCCTGGATGAATAGTATGCCACTGTATAAATGTACTATGCTTTCTTTATACATTCATCACCTGATGTTCACTTTGGCTGTTTCCATTTCTTTTTTTAATACATTTTTAAAAGATTTTTTATTTATTTATTATATATACAACATTCTGCTTCCATGTATATCTGCACATCAGAAAAGGGCACCAGATCTCATAATGGATGGTTGTGAGCCACCATGTGGTTGCTGGGAATTGAACTCAGGACCTCTGGAAGAGCAGTCAGTGCTCTTAACCTCTGAGCCATCTCTCCAGCCCTGTTTCCATTTTTTTAATTATTGAGAATACTGCTTCAATGAACATGGGAGTGCAGATGTCTCTTCAGCATGATACTTTTATTCTCTCTGCTTATATACTCAGTAGTGTGACTGCTAGAGCAAAGTGAATTTCCTTTTAATGAGTAGCATTCAGAAGAAAATGGTGAGTTAAGTGGATTAGAAGAGTAGAAGGGTCACTCTTCCAGAGAGCAGGAAAAGGAAAGCAATCAGTCTGGAAAGACAGTAAGGCTTTAGCAACCTGGGTCAGGCAGATTCCTGAATCAAGATGGACAGTGTTCTGACTCACAGCTGAGCAAATAGAGTCTTTAGACCAATTTAAAACAGCTGGAGCCTGACCCAGCTATGAATCAATAGCCCTTCGTGAGAGGCAATGACATATCAACACTTGTGGAATTCCTATAAACCTCTAAACTCATACATTCCTTGAAGGTCAAAACAACTTACATTAATATGCCCTGCTTGCTCTCACCCCAAGAATGAAGTAAAGGAATTTGCACCTGATTTCACAGCAGAAGTAGAAATAATTCTAAACTACGCCCTTAGATTTTCCATAAGAAACCCGCCCTGCCAGGAGTGGTGGTGCATACTTTTAATCTCACCACTTCAGAGGCAGAAGAAGGTGGATCTTTGTGAGTTCAAGGTCAGCCTGGTCTGCATAGTAAGCACCAGGCTAGCCAAAGCTATATAATGAAATGCTATCTCAAAAATAAAAAGTAATAATAATACAGAAAAGAAATGGCCCTGCCACATAACACATATGAGAACCGTCTCAATAAAAGCCTGTGGATTGACAGAAGATGACTAGTTTTGTCGTTACAAGCATGTTGTTACAAATAAGTGCCTCCTCAATCCATATTGAAGTTCTAATTCCCAATACCTCAGAATGTGACTATATTGGAGCTAGGGCTTTTAAGGAAGTGATTTGGTTAAAACAAAGCCATTAAATAGCCCCTAATACAATCTGACTACAGTCTTATGAAGAGAAAATCTGAACATACAAAGGAACACCAAGGACATCCATACAGGGATAAGACCATGGGAAGTAAAGTCAAAGAAAGGCCTCTGAAAACTACAAAAACTTATCAACACTTTGATCTTGGACCTGTGGCCTCCAAAACTATTTCTATTGTTAAAACCATGCAGTATGGTATTTTGTTACAATAGCTCAAATAAACTAATATACTGACTTGGAACCTGGACACAAACAAGTCTGACTGAACTATGATATCATTTTTCCCTAAGAATATCTGGCCCATGGTTAAGAGCCAATTATTTGGAGGGAAATATAATGGCTATCTTAGTGATTTGTGAAATAAAGCAACTATGCTATCTCTATATGATCTGTTAGAAGGTGAGCATTGCTGGTGACATTCAAGTATGTTAAACAGGTCACTGAATGCATTGATAATTATAAGTATTGAACAATTATTTAAGTTTCTTCAAGATGTGATATCAATGGCAAATGACTGATATGAGAAGTTAACAAATCAATATAACAAGCAGTTTAATATAAGCTTATCATAAAGTTCAAATAATGGTAGACAAAGGGAAATAATCATATTAATATAAAAATATTGTGGTATATATAATGGCTTTATAAGATGGATTAACTGCTTCAAATCTATTTATATTTTACATAGAATACTCCAAATGTTGGATATACTCATGCTATTATTTCTATAATTTATCTGCTATATAACTGCTATATTAAATGCAAATGCTCAGAAAAATACAACAGCCCTCCTTTAAAGGAGATTGGGTTATCCAAGTGTGATGGTACATGCCAGTGCCCCAAATAGTTGACTCAGTGGAAAGAGTTGACACAAATGTCATCAAGACACAAAACAGAATCATGAATAATACTCAATCCAAAAGAAAGGGAAAATATAGAACAAATAGCAGGCAAACAACAAGGTGGGAAATCTAAAACCAATCACGCCAATAATTACATGACAAGAAAATTATCTAAACACTGAAACAAAAGGCAGACACTGTCAAATTGGATTTTTAAAAAAGCAACACACAGCCATAATGCTGCCTATAAGAAATTCAAATTAAAACATAAACATGTTAAAAAGAAAAAAAAGTAAAGCTAGTCAAAAGAAAGCCGGGATTGTTATCAGCTAAAAAAGATTTCAGCACAAAGAGTATTACCAGGCACAAACTTCCAATTTCCAAATGGCAAAGGATCATATCCTCAAGAGACTACAAGAAGCCTAACAGTTTGCACTAACAAGAGTACTTCAAATACAGGAAGCAAAACCTTCACAGAACTGAAAGAAGAAACAAACACAACACTTTAGAATGAGCTTTTTTTTTTTTTTTCTTCTCGAGACATGGTTTCTCTGTGTAGCTTTGGGGCCTATCCTGGCACTCGCTCTGGAGACCAGGCTGGCCTCAAACTCACAGAGATCCGCCTGCCTCTGCCTCCCGAGTGCTGGGATTAAAGGCGTGTGCCACCAACGCCCGGCTAGTCTGAGCTTTCAATATCCTTCTAATGATCAATAGAACAAGGGGACAGAAAAATCAGTGAAAGAGTAGAAAACATGAACTGCTTTATCAACCAACTTAACCTGACATTCCTAGCAAACAATACAGGATTTGCATATATTCCAAATAAACATGGAAGACTTACCAGATGACAATAGTTTATGGACAAGATCCTATGTCAAAAATCCTCATCATTAAAAGGATTCAAATCATAACAATGATATTCTCTAACCATAATGGAATTAAATTAGGAAATAATACCAAAGAAAAATATGGGGAAATGGTATGAATATTCACAATTAGCTGACGATTTTAAATGACTCTGGGTTGAAGAAATAAAGAAAATGAGAAAATATTTTTACCTGAATGAAAATGAAAACATATTAAAAAATAGCTAACTCCTTATAGGAAGGTTTACATTCTTAAATGCTTATATTATAAAAAGGAGAAATGTTGGAAATCAAAACATTAAATCAGAAACTGTAGGGCTGGGGTCCAGTAATCTGTAGCCCTCTAAGTATTATGATGCAAGTCATACTTTGAGAATCTCTGCTATGTGTTATTTGCATGTCATTTTTGCTCTAGCCTTTATTCTTCAATAAAGAACCTACACAATTTATATTGCTCTGAAGTTCATGTCACTAAAGTCAATCTTACTTTCAGTAGTCTGTTAATCTTATGTTGACTTTAGAAAATAGAGTCCTGCAAGTGATTAACCCTGCAAGTAAGAATTTGTTTGATAAAACATTCCAAAATTCAGAGAGCAGAGTTTTATCTGCAGGAGTGTAGGGTACAAGCATCAGTGGGGAATATGACCTTATTGAATAATTCCTACTGTTTATACTAGGCTTTCCATGTGGGAATCAAATGTAGTTAGCATTTAATCATGTTCATTGCTGAAAAGCAACAGACATTTGGATCTAAGTGGTTAATGATATAAAAAGAACCTGTTTAAGATGGGCATGCTGGTTGTAAGCCCTTCATTCCAGAACTCAGTTGAGACAGTGAATCAAGGTCAGAGTTGACTCCACGGAAAGTTCAAAGCCAGCCTGGGCTACAGAAGACTGTGTTTCAAAACAAAAAAGAATTTGCTTGAAATATGGTTTTATGCCTACAGTTGAACATAAAATTATCTCATGCTCTGGAAAGCACTTTAAACAAAATACTGCAATCCAAAGAAGCACCAATTCCATTCAGTTGCAGCAATTCTTAGGCTGGCAGGCAAAAAAAAAAAAAAAAAAACCAAAAAACAACAACAAAAAAAAATTGAAATAAAATCTGGCTCAGTTACTTAAGTTATCCTCAAACTCAAAATCCTCCTACCTCAATCTCCGCAATGTCTGGTTACAGGAATGCACTACCACACCCAGATAAGTGAGCATCATCTTTCCAAATGATTCAATGCAATAAAACAACCTCAATAGATCTGGTCTATCTGAATTTGTTACATCACTCCTGAGACACCTAATTAACAAAACTTTAAGCTGGGCAAGGTGGTGAACACCTTTAGTCAAGAGGCAGGAGAAGCTCTGTGAGTTCCAGGCCAGCCTGGTCTACATAAGAAATCCCACACCAGCTAGGACTACACAATGAGACCAGATCTTTAAAAAAAAGAACTTGAAAGCAGCATTCTGCCATGGAAGAACTGTTAGATGAATTTTAACTTTAGTACATGTTAGTCTTCAAAACTAAAGTAGCTGGGCATGGTGGTGCACACCTTTAATCCCAGCACTCTGAGGGCAGAGACAGGTGGATCTCTGTAAGTTCAAGGCCAGCCTGGTCTACAGAGCAAGTTCCAGGAGAGCCAGGGCTACACAGAAAAACACTGTCCCAAACAAACAACAACAAAAGTAAAAGTACAGTGAACACTAGTAGTCTAGAATCATAGGGTAAAAATCCAGTCAATCTACTCAAGGGTGCTTTCCTCCCCTGACCCTCACTGGTCTTACAGCTTTGGTTCTTTCTAAGAACCTGGCTTCCACTCTTTCTTATGCTTTTAACAGACTCTCATGGCGTGGGGCCATGAAAGTGGAATTAATCAAGTAATTATCCAGCCACCACAGTTAGAAGTTTTAATATCAATGTAAAGTGGGATCAGGGTTTTATAAGCACATTTCAAAAGTGCAAAGATTAAGTCTAAGATTGTTTCTCTCCCTTTCAAAAGCTTAAATATGAGCACATAGAAACCTTACATATTTTGAAAGAACATTAGTTTTTCTCTATTTTAATACAGCTATAGTGTAAAACATGCAAAATACCGAAGTTCCAAACCAAAGGCAACTAGTAGAAACAACTAAATTTTAAAAAACCGTGTTGATTTACTTATCAGCCATGAAATGCAGCAAAGCCTCCACTGTCCTGCACACCTTAGAAAAAATACCCAATTCCTTTCTATAGAAATTGTCTCTTGTCGGGATCGGGCATTCGTGGTTCAGTCTCTGTAGATCATGTTACAGATTCAGATACTGAAAAGGGCCTGCCATCTTTTTCACTGGATTACAGCTAGACAAGTACCTTCCCTCAATACCCAGTTTGGGAAATGAGCCATAAGGAACACAACAGTTTAGCTGAAGAGTTAACCAACATCTTGGTCTGAAACTTAAGCAAGGACAGTAATGGCAATATAAGATTCCAGGATATATTCTTGTTCTCTCTTCTCCAAAGGACCTGTATATATAGTACATGGAAATACAGAGTATAGAGGGTGACAACAGCCACATACAGAAAGCCACCCTAGAGCTAAAAGCACAGTAAAGAAAATGTAAACCGCAGTGTGCTAAAGAACTAACTCTTGTTTGGGATTGTCTGCAGCTGCAAGCAACCTCCAAACCAAGAGGGTCACAAGTTCAATAGTTTCCATGCACTGGGTGACAGTTGAGTGACTTCCATGAGCAAACAATTAAATTTCTATCTTTCTAAGCACCGTGGGTGTGCTTCATTGTCAAATTTGGTACCACATATGAAGAAGTGACCAAATCAAACAATAAACTTCCAATAATTTCCTGTTGCTATACCTATATCCAATGTTAAAAGATATTCCTAATGTATTTCTCCATTATTTCTCCAACAAATTAGTAAAAACAAGTATTAAATCCATTTACAACCATAATATTATGCAAAGTATTTCCTTTTCCTTTAATAACTTAGTCTGTTCCAAAGTATTTCTGTCCAAAATGTGTAGGTGCAACAGGATGAACTTCAGTAGTTAGAATTGTGATCTCTGGAAATTCTTGAATGATTGATTTGGCACCTTCAAAAAATAAAAATAATTGTTATTAGTGTAAGATTTTGGGGAACAGTAGTTAGAATTCAGGAATTTTATAATCATTGTCTCCAGACTTAATACTGACAGAAAACTGAAAACAATCATCTTTGGATACTGAGCTAAGCATGTTTAATCTCTTTATACAGTATCTGCTATCTTAAAAGCTTTGCTAGTAGTCCAGACCATGCTCCTGCCCACTCAATAATATGGTATGAAAATCAAGTTATTCAGTTATACCACTTTTGGCTAGAATCAAGTAATATGGCACTTCCTAAAAGAAAAATCACACAAAATGAAAGTTTTCCAACTGAAACACCGTGAAACAAGTGCAAAGGCATCTTTGGTGTGTCAGAGAATGCAAGCTGTTTAGAAATAAGGATTGGAGCTTTAGGTGAGGGGGTTGGGCAGGGAATTTAGACTAGCTGGGGCCCAAAACCAAAGAGCCACAGTGAAAGCTGCTACACAATGTGGATTTTTCAGCTTTAATGCCAAACAATGGGACACTGTTCCAATTAATACAACTACAGCTAAAGAGATTACTTTTCTTTTGCCAAAGGTGGATAATTACTGGATTATCTTAATGTTTTCAATGTCACCAGTGCTACATACAATGGACAATCAAGCAAATCACCCTTTGTCACCACTAGTATTTGAATTACAGGTGCATTTAGGTTACAAAAGAACAAAGTAATCCAATAGGCCACAATTACTATACAACAGCCTACTGAGAACAGTCTTTCTAACACACATGCTGTGTTTTCTCAAGGTCTGCATGAAACCTAGGATAGTTGGAAATGAGAGAACAGCCTAACTAGAGAAGCCATCTATTTCTCTTTCAATTATTAAACAAATATCAGTGCATTATAGAACACTTAGAAAATGTCCCAAAAAACCTCAAAAGTTTAACAATAAAAGTAATTTAAAATTATTCCTGAAAATAATTACTATTAGTACTGTGTGTACATTTAAAACTCAAATAGAAATAGCATTGTGTATCTTCCCAGCCACTCATGTTGAGGTCAAATTTATTTGGTTTTATGCTAAAGTCTGCTTTTGGCAGTTAGTGTTATAATTTGTATTGGCCATCTCTAAACTTACTGGTAACATTTCACACTATTTCTTTATATCTGTATCAATTCTTTGAGAATTTTATACAATATATTTCCATCTTATTCATACCTCCTTCCCATGCCCTACCTACACAACTTCATGTGTGCTTGTGTTCTCTCTTTTCCTCTCCTCACCCTCAAACCACCAAGCCCAGGCTGTGTTGCCCAACTCCTTTGGTGGGTCGACCTATCAGGGGTCAAAACAAAAAAACTGACTCTCCCTCTCCCAGAAGCTACCAAATGCCAGTAGCCACTCAGCTGACAGTAGGACTCCATGTCTACCTGCCCTACCTCCATGCTGCATGCTGAGATTTTATCTGGCTTGAGCCTGCACAGTCTTAGGCATGCTGTCACATCCTCTATAAGTTCATATGTGGAACTATTCTGTCTGTAAGACTCTGGCTCTTAAGATCTTCTCACCCCTCCGAAAAGGTCCTTGAGACTTTGGAGGAAGGATGCGTTTCACAGCACATAATTCTCTTATTTGTGCTGCCTTTTCACACTTGCTATCTATATTTTTATGTCACTAAATGTTTTTCAAAAGCAACTTTTGCAAGGTATGTAATAGATACTACTTATCCTCTAAATAGGTATTACTTATATACCCCTTTTCTTATCAGCATCTATATAATTCCCTTTTGTTGTTGCTGTTTTTGAGACAGCCTTGTTATATAGTTAGATTCTCTATGTAGGGCAAGCTGGCCTTGACCTTGTTCTGATCCTCTTGTCTCTGCCTCCCAAGTGCTGGAATTACAACCATGTGTCACCATTCCCAATAATCATTTACATACTCTCAAATTATTTCTTATGCTAAATGACTCTATAACGAAGACCCTAGAAACTACATGCCTCTATGATTATTTTCTTACCATGTATTCCTAATTGCCCTAGATTGTTTGGTAAGAAAGCCAAAGTCTTAATTTAAGTATATCTCTTACAGGAAACATAGAATAGGTGACTTCCTATTCATTAAAAAAGACATCTAATTCAAAAAGCATCTGATCTTCACATCACATTACAATGATTACTTCAATAATATCATAAGTTCCTTGCTATTTGAAATCTGTTCTCAGGCTCAGGTGGGAAACCATTGAAAATTGGGACCTTTCAGTCAATTATGGGCCCTAGCCAAGCAGGGCCACTTGGGAAAACAATGTGGTTATTTTCAGTAAAGTAATTCATATGTTCCCATTTGAATTTAAACATCACAATGGCTAGATAGATAGGTCAGTGGTTAAGAATATTGTCTGCTCTACCAGAGAACCTGGGTTCAATTCCCATCACACACATGGCAGGTCACTAGCATCTATAATTCCAGTTCCACAGGACCCAACACCCTTTTCCAATCTCTGAGGTACACAAACATATACACACAGGCAAAACAACATGCCCATAAAATAATAAAATTAAAAATTAAATATCAGATTGGTATAAAACAAGCTAGGCATGCTGATATATGCCTGTGGTTTCAGTTGCTTAGGAAGATGGGACAAAAGGATCACCTGAGTCTAGGAGTTCAAGACCAGTGTGAAATACCTTGTCTCAAAATTTTGTTTAATAATATAACTAAGCTTAGAGATGATGAACACAAGTCATACCTATGAAAACTAGATTAATATGGACATACAACTATACTTTTCCTTGGGATGAGAGGCTAGAGAGATACACACTACCTCATGACTATCTGGAGCTAAAGTTATAGCTGCAAGTTAAACTCACCATGGGGAGTGGAGAAGAGACTGAGTAGGATAATAACACTGGGTTGAACTCCATGTTCTATCAGAACCTTTACAGCTTCAATTACAGTATTTCCAGTGCCTAAAACAAAAAGGCAACCAACCAAACCCATTAGCAATCTTAACATCTATATTCAAATGTTCTTGAATTAAGGGTAATACAGTAATCTTAACATAAGACTTGACTAGTGAACACTTCATTTGAAAGTGTTTGTTCTTTGTCAATGTTATTTCTAATGATGGGTAGAACATAAACTGGTATTAAATGTACAACAAGCCCTAAACTCATTTATTGCTTAAAATATCAAATGTAACACCACCACTAGCCCTGCTCACCTCCCTGGGAGACTATGATATGAGAAAGTACAGGGATGAGAACAGAATAGCAGAGAAATTACCTGCAGAAAGGACAAAACCCTGAGAAAATCACTGTCATGCTCATTAAGGTAGAGACAGGACATGTTTTGATATATTTTTTGTGTTCTATATATTTTGCCTCATTAGGCCCTTTGCTTCAATGTGTTCATTTCAAAACAGATGTTCTTTAGAGCTAACAAAGTTTGACTAATGTATATTCCCTTATTACACAATAAAAACTTCCCAGTGAACAGCCCAGGGCAACTCCAAATCCAACAGAGAAAAACACATTTAGAAACTGTTTTTGCCTTTTATATAAGGGTGTGTAGGAGGTAGACACTAACTTGAATTTAAACTCTAACAAAAATTACAAATGCAATTCAAGCCACTCACTGAGAATTGGATACATCAGAAGGACTTTTCTGCGATAGATGTCTGGGGGGAACTTGGCATAATACACTTTGGCCCTTTGTGTCTCTTCATCGCTCTGAATCAGGATCTTCCCAATTCGTATGGATCGACAGCAGTCTCGTAAACCTTGCTCCATTGCCTCACCTCGAAGAAGGAAATGAAAAGGAATCAGGGACAAAGGGTTGCAGCAGATAGAGTGCAAATCCAAGAACAGGCCAAAGCAAAGTGTTTCACTGCTATTAATACAAAAAAAGAGCACTATCAAGACAGAAGCATTCTTCTTTCTCTCTACTCTGCCCATATTTTATTCGTAGTAGGAACTCAATGAAAGCAGATGAAAGGCTTGTCAATGAAACCATAATAAACCAGACTTATTGCTTGCTTACAAGCTATGGAGTTGTTCTGCTTCCATGATTACGGAAATAAAAGCTTGACTGGGCTGTTCCTTGAGCTTCTTCTGCATCAGAGATACTTGTCTTCTTATTATTTCTAAAGAAGATTTTAAGCCAACTAAATTTGTCACTTTCATCTGAGAAAAATATAAAAGATTCATGAAAGAGTGGGGGCTGTAGGCCAAAGTATTTCTTTTTAGATAAAAGTGGCCGGGATTCATCACTTAGTTCAACAACGACTTCACTGACAAACGTTTCTGGGCAAATAGTGAAAGCGTAGCATGCTGGTCTCCCTTTCCCATAGAGCCAACCTGACCCCCACTTCATTGGTTACTAAATACAAGCCACATTTTTAATGTGCTTCTGTGTGTAATGTTTGTAGACATGTTTGCATGTATATGGGAACACACGTGTATGTATGCATGTGGAAGTTCAAGGCTGACTTCAGGGGTCTTCCTCAAGTACTCTCCATCTTATTCTTTGAGACAAGATCTCTCAATTAAACCTAGGGCTTCCTGATATGACCAATCTGCCTGACCACCTTGCTCCCAGGATCCCTGCCTGTGCCTTCTGAGTACTGGAATTATGGGCAGGCTGGCACAGTTAGTTAAACTTCATTCCTCACACTTGTGTGGCAGGTGGTTTAAACACTGAGCTATCTCCCTGGCTACTAAATACAGGGTTATTTCTGAATCTTAATTCCTTTGAGGAAATGTTTTCTAGAAGTCACATGCAGTTGTCAAGATTTTGTATTACTTTGAAATTCTATCAGTACTGGTATTTACTTTATCTGTTCATAAAATTAACTTTTCATTTAAATTTAAGAGGAAATTTTAGTGCATTAGTGTAAACATATAACCAGTTTCTTCTAGAAATATATACAATAAACAAGTGATTTTTAAGAATAAAAACAATTATGACAAAGCTGGGGATGGAGTTTGAGGGCAATAGTATGTGTATTACATGCACAAGATTCTGAATTTAATCCATAGTGCCAAAATACAAAATATAAAAAAAAGGAAAAACCAAAAACCTCTCAAGTCAGTCTTTATATCCCTGAATCATCTGGTAAACCTAGAGGTGTATTGTGGGATATTTTGATCACAGTCTGACACTCCTGAGACTGCCCAAAAAAGTTATACCTTGAATCAGGGGCAGAGCCAATGACTAACTAACTGACCAGAATTGGCCATAGAGAAACCAGCGATTTGGATAGAGAAGACACACATTAAGAAAAAGGCAGGGACTAAAGTTTGAGTTTCCTTTTGGTTCTGGGAGGAGGGAAGAGACTTGTGTCTCTGGCCAAAAAACAAGGTCAGCTAGTTGCTACACAGTCTTTGTGACAGCAGGTTTTCACCCCAGCCTTTGACTTCTGAGTCTTAATGATAAACAGAACGATAGAGGCTTAGTTTAAACCTACATATATTATGGCCGGGCCATGGGACCAGAAGCCCCACCAGGCCAAGGCAGAGCACTAGTTGAGGGGCCATGGGGCTGCAGATGATAATTAAAATATCAGTAGATTCATGTGTAGGCACTAAGCCAACAGAAAAACATCAGAGGTGCAAGGAGCAAGTTGGTACTCTCAGAGAAGCTGGTACTCTCAGAGCTGAGAAGAAACTATATCCATGTGTTTAACAGCTTCAAATGCTGAACACCACTATCCTGAGAATGCTTCACTCCCTAAGAGCTATCTTCCTGTAAGAACAGAGCCTAAAGCTTCCTTTGTAATTGACGTGTTCAATTGTTCACAAACACAACGAGGGTAAGAGAAAAATGGATGTTTATATGTTTTAAAAATCTGTTTCCAGTGCAAACAAGTGAGGCTTCCAGCTCTTGTGAAAAAAAAAGTTCAGATTGCAGAAGAGAAATCATTCCTGTGTAACGGGTAGACGTTCTCATCACAGACACGCCATTTTGTTGCACCAAAGTTGTTAGTTAGGATGATCAGTTGGACTCAAAGCACCAATACAAAATGTATAAGATCAGCAAGTGGAAATATCTCGAGCTAATGAGAGCTAGGCACTTTTGCCTATGTAGTCACCTATTCACAGAATATATAATGTGATCTAATAAATAAGTCCAGCTTTTGGCAGGGTTCCCTGCAGCACAGATAAAATCTGAGGAGGCATCTTTTTCAGCCAGGTATTCAAATGTTCTTTTCCAGAAAGAATGTATGCCACATTCCTTCAGTCTACAAACTATTCTCCCCAAGACAGGATCATCCTGTCCTCCCATCCTGCTATCCTCCCAGCCTCCTTTGAGGTTTCTTAAAAGCTGGCTTGCTCTTGGGAGCAGGCCACTAGGGAAGATGCAATTACTTGGGAGCAGGCCACTAGGGAAGATGCAATTACAATTAGCCAAACTTAGCAGCGCATAGGCCATGCCTCCAAGGCACCGTGAGGATAGGCAACACAGGTGGTGAGATTTAAGCAAAGGCAGGATGCAATTAAAAAAACCCACCCCGCCTCTCTCCTGGAAAACAGCAACCGTTTCCATGCATGCAAAGAAACAAAATCATACACATGCAAACCTACCGCTTCTCATTATGCTGACCCCACAATTTCCTTTCTCAAATTTCACTCCTTCATATTTGTGTCCTGTTCGGAAATGAAATAAAAATAGATGCTTTATCATTGCAGCAGTGTGTATATTCTATAAGATGCTCATGGTTCAAAGCAGATGAGTACAAAGCAAGCCCCTTGCCCAGACATCCTGTATAACACCTTGGGTTTCCTGTGAAAGTAATGAGTCATGATTTTTCACAGTGATTTCTTAATCCCTCAGAAGAAACCGGTGAGAATAATTGGGAGAGGAGGGTTTCCTCAAGTGGGAACTGGACTTATTATAGCACAATACTCACACACACATTCTCTAAATTGAATTCAAAGGAGAGTCACTGCGGTCATGAATACTAGATACCCCATCAATTCACACCAGGGCCCCACTGAAAGCCACAGAAGAAAGCCTCCTCATTGCATCCCTTCTTATGAGCCTTCATTCTGCCTTAAAAGCAGAAGAGACTGAAATAGCTATCAAGTTACTCAAAACTTGGGTCTCACTCTGAATTGTGTCAATTATGATGCAACAAACTCAGCCCTCAATTGTTCATAGTCAATCCTTTGAAGAGTTTTCCATCATTTATGAAAAAAAAAACCCCAAAAATCAGAATTTCAAATCTCTGAAAGGGGGATTGTAGGCTATTTTTATTAGAACAAAGAACATTCTCCAAATCTTATCATTTTTAGTTTTCTTTCCCTTTTTCAGATCTCATCTTTTTTCTTAACCTGGAGTTTCTATGCCAAAGCAGTCTCCTGCATTTGTTAGCACCAGCGGCTTCCCCACAGAGGTGAAGATAAGCTGCCAGCAATTCTTAACTCTGGTCCCGGTGGGCTGCCGTCAGAAGCAACACCTGCATGCTGAAGAGTATGTAATAACCTTTAACTTGAATTGACAAGCAAGCCACTAACAAAAAGTCACCTACATAGACATCTTTACAAATGTCTCTTAGTTTTTAAAGATTTAAAAAAAAAATTCAGCTCTACCTAAACTCAGTTTTCACACTGATTTTAAACAGAATGCCTTCCTTCCATTTTTCCTCCCCACTCTCGTTCTGGACTTTTATGAGAAAAAGTTGAGAGTCCAAGCCCTAGTTACCTGTCGGCGTGGTCACCATGCATTCTTTATATGGCAGCTGATTCAGTCCCTCTTCTACAACAAGTCTGATCTAGAAAGTCAAAGAAAGAATATGTTGAGGGCCTTCAGAATCTCCTGCTAGCTGCTAGCCTCAGGAGCTGAGGGCTTAGCTCATGGAGTAAGGAAGGGGGCCCTTACCATGTATTAACTACTGGGACACATCCAAATTCCAGACTGATGTTTGCTAAGTATCCAACCTCCATTTGGGACTGTCACCCAAGGACTCCAGTGTGCCTTCTGAGTCAGTCAAGAATATGCGAGGTGCAAAACTTCAACATGACTTATGGCAAAACACCATCAGTATTAATAAAATTATGTGTTACTATGGAAAATGTCCACCTAGAATTCTCTACCTTGCTTAGTACCTTTGAAATCTTTGCAATTTACAAATGAATTTGTATGCAGTTTAACAGAGGTTCACCATAATGCAAATAAAACCGAAAAGTCCTTGTGAGAAAATGAATAAGTAGAGCTGAAATAATTTACTAGGTCTGAAGTAGGACCCAGTAGAATATCTTGGGACTTCTCAGCTAAAGAAAAGTACTATGGAGGCTAAGAAGATGGCAGATAAGCAGGTAGAGGGACAGAACTAACTCCCAAAATGTACTGTGACTTTCACATGCATCTATGACAG